GAATGCTTCCATGGTTTCACAGGGTTAAAATATCAGACCTATAATTTACAGATTTTGAGGTTGATCCTCACAAAAAGCAGAATCAATTCTGTGATTTTTACACAAGTAGCAGCAAAACATGAATTGATAGTCTTGTTCTAATTTCAGGACTTTTATTGTATATCCTTTGATGCTTGAACCTTTTCGCAACCTTTGGTGGTTTTCATCCACCTCTTTACCTTGAACTATTACCACAATTGATTCAAGTGATAAATGACAATGTATTTATGCCGTACCAATACCTTGTTTCTATTGATGAGCTGAATTTGAATCTAATTTCAGAGTGACATCCGAAACAATTCTGGTTACAGCTGTGTTGAACGAAGTAATAATCACTTGCTTTGGAGAACTCTGAATCTTACCACTTCTAGTTAAATCTCAACGGGATATGGCACAATTATTTTATTAGATACGTAAGAAAAGGTCTTCTCAAACGTATCTAGAAACTGTTTACTGTTTTGTATTACTTGAATTGTGTACTGGATTCAGTGATTTACTGTTCATTGGAAAGAAAGTAAGATATTTCTTGATACTGCTCATTTAAAATGACTTTTTGTGTAAGAGTTGGTCATTTGTTAATTACTAGTCGAATATCTCATCAAGATGAAATTCTGTTTCATAAGTTTGTGAAATGTCCTCTATGGTTGATTCAACTTTTGAATTCTTAGAGATTACACTGAATTAATCGAACTCATTTAGTCCTTATCCCGAGAAAAACGATTTTCCATATAGTATTAATAGCAGTATTATTATTAAGGATACCGAGAACTAGGGAGCTGAAGACTTGGTTTGAGAAAGATTTGGTAGTGTTTGAGTGTCCAATAATTCCTCCGTGATACTTGCACTTTATTTGCGATACCGGATATGTATTTCTTGATCGTTTCATCCTAGATAGCTTCGCGAATCGACTCAAGCCGTGAATCGCATTATACCTTTGCAGCGCCACGAATATGTTACTACTAGTTTATATATTTTGATATTAACTAGTTGTTTGTTCAGATATAAATACGTCAAACTGTACTTGATTCAATTCATAACTACTTGTCTTAAAGTGCTTTCAGTAATATCATTTCGTTCCAACCAAGCATTACTGGGTACGCTATAGTTACTTCGCAGACAAGAATCAGGAATCAGATTTCAATCTTTTTTCAAGTATTCGCATCTAAATGCGTTGATTGTTAGAAACGTTCAAAGTTGGCTATTGAAATATAGCCCTAGCAATGAATGGAGTCAATGTTCGACAAGATAACGGCACAACTCGATGCACAAAAAGTTGAATCAACGTTTCCATTCAAAATCAATTGTTTGATAGTAAGACTAATATACGTTGTTATTTTTTAGGGGTATCTACGAGAGAGTTGGTTGAATTGTCATTATGTGGACATTGGGTTATCCAATAGAGTTTCTGTTAGATAGTGTTTTTATAGGATGGCTTCTTTAAGGTAGAATTGATACTCTATTGACTACTAGTTGTCGAGTTGATAAAGACTTGGTATCTTTGCACTTGAAATCTTGCTGTTGTATGTACAGAGTCTTTCTATCCGAAGCAGTGTTTTGTGTGGTCTTTAGGTTCCCTGTAAGCTTGATTCAGCGTCGAATTGTCCAAGATTATCTCGATTTGCCTAAAGTATTCTAGTCCTTACTCTAAAAGGATGATTTACAGACTATTATTTGGATTACTTAAAATCAAGTCGAAGATCAATTCATTCGAGAATCACTGCGTAAGAATCTGAATTGCAGAAAAGTATCAATGTTCCCTTGATATTTGTATGCTGTGTGCACTACTGGGCAGGTGGTCGACCATAATTCAATTTAGGTACATCTGTGGATTGACTTTCATATTGAATGACGATGTGTTCCTAGAATATTGAGAACATGTTACTATTGATGAGCATAGATCAATCAGCATCCACCATTCTTGTATCTGTACGGAATTCAATTGAACTTTGTTTGAATCCAATTGTTCCTATCAATATTGGTGGAGCACGTTCTCGTTTTACTTTCTTGGTACCAAGCTCAACTTGCGTCATAGAATCATTATTTTTTTTGATAAAGTCATTGTGCTAAAAGTCTATTGCTTGTTTGTATTGACTGGTCGGAGAGTAGTCATCATATTTTTATCTTATCTTTTCAAGAAAGTTGTAATAATTACTGAACACTAAAAACTGAACTTTAGTTGAAATAAAGTATGACAGCGATAAACTATACTATTCATAGACCACAGAATCATTTGATTTAGAAGAAGATTCAACTAGATTGTAGACGATTGGTCACAAACGAGCTGCGAAAAGACGCAACGTAACCTTCTGATACAAGCTATTGAATCTTCCTTTTTCATGTTTATATGCTATGTAGTACAAGATGAACAAAATGATTCCTTTCATTTCAACTTTTATACAACTCGCTGAACAAAAGAATACAACAATTTGCTTTAGAAGAAAAAAGATGATGAAAGATATAAAGTGAAAAAAGAAAGAAATGGCTTTCTAGTTTAATAGACTACAGAGATAGTATTATGAGCCAAAAGTCTTGACTTTGATTCTCACCAGAAACATCAACGATATACAATCTTACTTGCAGAATCGTTATTTGTATCTCTGTAGATATTATGCTATATATAGCTGTAACTTTCTTTACTAGTTTGGAAAGTTTATACAACAACATTTATAGGAAGAACAATATCAAGTTTATGATTCAACTTGATCTCGATACTATTATTCCATGAAGAAGGATATCACTCCTCATCATACTCGACGAATGGTTTTAGATTCAAACTAATCAATCTTATGTCAATCAACAACTTGACCGGAAAAAAGTTGCTTGTATTTATTTCATTGCAAAAATCATTGAGGTCTTGGTATGAACTGTTAGAAATGATTATAAAAGCAGAATTTACTGTTTGATTTGCACATTTGACGACAACAATAACAGCAACTCTTACAAGAGATAGGACAACACTTCTCACTACAGCATTATTCTCGAAGAGTAATAGACATACTATCCCTTCTATAGTTCCTCATTTATTTAGAATTGTGATTGGTGTTTTACGACCACTCTCTTTCCCTATATTGTAAATTCAATACATGCCTCAATTGCGGAAGGGATATATTTTTCTATCTAATCAACAAGACTAGAGACAATAGGAATATGAGCTAGTGTCCAGGAATCAGCTTAAATTCAACTGATTTTAAAAGATCATAGTTTCGGCTATGTTGAACCGAGTTTAAACTGTATTGAGAGGAGAAATAAGCGATTGTGCATAATAGGGCAATCAAGTATCAAGAAAGAGAATAAGCCAAGTGCTTTGCTTGATAGAATCAGATCAATGTCGTCGAATAAAGAGCAATTCATTGTTTCTTTAAGCACCTTTCATTCTCTCGTTCACGGAGCCTTATCTATAGAATTGCACGAGTCGGTCATAAATAGAATATTATTGTTAGTTAGCATATCGTTTATGCCTAGTGACAAGCTCAATTTTAAGTTGCAGAGAGAGGGTCTATAATCTATCCTGGCTACATTTCTGTTGAACTTGGTGTCGAATAGAATGACTTGACCTTGTTCATATGAATTCATATTCTTGTTATGAATACTGTATTTGAAGAGTACCTATTATATGCTATTTGAATTTACTCTTAACTTTTTTTTTCACTGTTTATTATACAGCTCATCATGAAACTTAGTTTCATAAAAGCCTTGTATCTTTCAGACTATCAATATTTATGGCTATGAATTGTACAGTTTTGATAGAACCCAGTTGTCACCAATCTGTTCCATCAAGGATCGATTTGATAGTGGGACATATATAATGTCGCGGTTAACTACAGAACCATATACATATGAGGCAATTCAGCTCAATTGAAAGGAACTGTATGCTTGACAACTTTAGAGATCATTCCTATTTTAAATAGAAGAACGCAAACATTGCAAACATTCGGTTTTATGTTGTTTGAAAGATTTGAATCCACATGATAACTTGAAAAGATTGACGAAGAAGTACTTTCATCCTAACCTTTGATTGTTAGTACTTCAAGTCATGCTGAGACATATGGTTATGTCCGTTTACTTTTTTTGGTGAAAAAAGTTGTCTCTTATCTTTTTTATATTAAGTTATTACAAAATCAAGTTGATAACCTGGTACCGCTTTTACTAGTACAGGATACCTTTCACAGCAGACTCTTTGTTATCTTTATGGATGAAGAATTGAGTTTGGCTTGTGTTGATTCATTGATTGACTGATTGATTGCTTTGTGTTATACTAGCATATTTATTTATCAACTGACAAATGATTGCACTTGGATTAGTAAAATTGACTGATTCCAGTATTTGAGGAATAGTAGTGGACAATTCTATTCAAAAAAGGTGATCTAAGAATTCACTTTAGACCGATTGTTGATTTGCGAGTCAAAGACAAGTTTTAACCATTGAAAAAGATACACATACCAGGTAAGTGATTCAAATAGGAGTAGTTTCATTGTTCATTCTCAAGTTGAATACGCACTGGATTGGACAGTGCTAATAGAATGAAATGGGTTGTTTGAACCACACTGGGTTGTCCGTCTATTGTGAGAGTCTTTTAGGCTCATCAAGATCTTTTATCATGGCACCATAAAACTCTCTGAGCCATAAGAAGAGTCATTAAAACTTAGACTTTGGTTCATATAGTATTTATATATTCTCGATAGTCTATTTAATACCGATTGCTTCACGATTGTATGGATTTATTGGAAGAATTTACCCAAGTAGATTTGGCAGACGAAATACCAACGAGTACTAGTATTCTTTCATCTAAATACACAGAGGACAATCTAGTTGATAGTTTGCTTGACAAGAATCATAACGAGAGAAAATCCCCAAATTCCTTCCTGATAGTTGCAACTCACTTTCAAACTCTAAACAGATCGTTGACCGAAACTCGTTTGAGTCTGTTGTTTCCAGAATTGATCCAATGTTGAATCATATTGGTATACTGTAAAATGAAGATTTTGTTGTTGCTATTGGGTCTGATTTTGCATAATATGTTGAGCACCAATATACACACTTTTTACTGATTGTTTCTGCTAATGGGAAAGATGGGCAATTTGAAAAGAGTGGCCGATTGTAAATGGGCCCGCGCAATTTTGATTTGAAAATTGCCATTATGGGTGTGGGGTGGGAAAGAATGTGTAAATTGGAAATGGGAGAGAGTGGGGAAATTGCCATGGGGAAAATGGGTGGGGGGAAAGGGGCCAAGTTGGGCCAACCCCAAGGCGATCGTGATTTGAAAATTGCCATTATGGATGCGGGGAAGAATGGGTAAATTGGAAATGGGGCATTTGAAATTGAGGACAGTGTGTGTAAAAATCAATAAAGCCATTTAAAACAGTAAAAGATCATTCCAAGAAAGTTAACTTTGATTTCCACAGTGATAACAAAATATTAAGAGCCAATGCTTTAAAGACACATTCTATGCAAAAGAAGAGAAGAATGACAAAGAATGGCTATTTTTTACTCTTTTCAAAAGTACTTGTTTTGAATAACCGTAACAAAAAAATACGTTTCAATTCAGCAAAATCACAGTTTGTAACATGTTTAGGTTCCACCTCAATATTGTTTGAAATGACTCCTTAAAAATGGACAAGTACCCTTGAGAGTAACGAGTTTGGAAAAACACAAGTGATATTGAGTTGAGTAACCAGTTGAATGATATCATCGTTTGGTTTACCAAGACATTGAACAAAGCTACAAGTAGTAAAAGTCAAAGAAAAGTTGTCCTTTTAGAACATCAAGTCTTTACGAAACCTTGAGACAAAGACACCCAAGAAACACAAGAAAAGAACCCTTGAAAACTTTTTGTTTACCTGTTGAAGCATAACCATACTTGAAGGATTGGAGTACAGTTTTATCCATAGCCAAGAACTGTGTTCTAGTCGTCAACGACAAGGGCTTGTTAAAGTCTGTACGAAAAAAGTGCAGCATCTACAGCCTTGGAGATAGGTTTGGTTTTACTAGATTCTCTTAAAGTGATACTTATAAAAGTATGTTTCACTCTCAAAACACTGCCCCTACATCGGGACAATATTCCCCTACTATTCCCTCAAATTATCCATACAATAAGCGTATTGTACACCTACATTTGTGAGACTTTTAACAAGTCTCCACGAAATCACCTTTACATATTCCTAAACTCCTTGATATCTCCTTTTCTAAACTCAAATATCAATTCATGATGTTGCTTGACTATTCTCAAGTACCAGATCCAAGAAATCACTTGCAACGAAAAAAAAGTGAATTCGCTTTATGACGCCTTTTCTTCTTTGCAACTATGTCATGGAAAATCCTTTACGATCAAATACAATAGAAGCTTCGATCACGTCGTTACATACCAATCTCTCTGCAAATTTGTCAATCTTTGTTGGTCGCTTTTTGGATGAGACAACAAGACTTGGCATTGGTTTCTCATTAGATTGCTATTACTGTAGAATTCCCTGCCTTGATTCTTACCTATCATCAAGTTATACGACAGTCTTTTCTCATGTTTACCCAAAACCTTGATGACATTGCTTGCCCATTCTCTCCTATAGTTTGAGAGAGTGTTGTCATCCATATCAGAGACTCGTTACCAATTGGTTGTGTCGAGTATGTTGAACGCAATAAAGCTGGTTGAACATAGTCTTGCAGCTTTTTTTATCCTTTTTTGGGAACTGACTGTTTCATTGTAAAACCAATCAATCTTTCTGTCTCTTTTTTTGGGAGAATAGATGAAATCCTTTTTTGGTTTTCTTTTCTGGTTCCCAAGGTAATATCAACACTCCACAGAAATGGATATACACCTCAAGTTGTTTTGTAAAGATATTTTGTGATTCACTCAGTTTCTTGAAAACACAGAGACCAACATTCAAGACGTTGCAGAAAGATGCCGTGTAAAGCCAAAAACAACTTGTACATTTATTACCGATAACAATGGAGAGATTATCCTCAAAGGTCTAGCAGTAATCAAGGAGACTTATTCATTGTATAATACCCAACCTAATGCTTTAGCTATTATCCCAGCTTTTCAAGAAGAGACACAAGCCAGGTTGGACGTTGTACAAGAAACATTGATGGATCACCAAGAAACCGCTCTTTCAAATGACAAGACTCCTCCTCAACGACTCTTTCTCCAAGCCCATCTGTTTATTCTGTATCGTCACATTTATTTATTTCGACCATTTGACTCTTCACACTTTTATGAATGCGTCTCGACGTGCTTTGAACAATCTGTCCAAGACCCTATTGACTAGTTTTAGAGCGACTCTGTTGCATCTTGTTTGAAAGCACAAGTCTTGGAATGTAGGTTCTATTAGGTACTACTTTGCCTTTTAAAAGTCAAGGAATGGTTAAAAAAAAGATCCTGTTCATGCCATAGCAATGCTGTTTGAGTTTTATGAAGAGGTATACACTTTAAACGAATATGTATGTTGGAGTCAATCGAAGAAGATAAAGTAGATACATCACATGTGAGACCCAGAAAAATTTCCAGGAATTGTTCAACATTTCTTCCAATCGATTTACAGTTACTGACATCATAGACTTGAAAACACAAGCGAGAGTAACATTGAAATTCTTGAAAACTATCTCGAAGAGTTTCTGTGAAACAATAAATGGAAAAAGTTGCTGCATATTCTTGGTTTATTTATTGTTTACTACTTTCTGGTTTAGCGTAATATCCACATCGATAAACGTTGGATTGCTGAAAGACATCACCAGTGGAAGAGATCGCACCACCATAGGTCTATAGGAAACTTTTTGAAAAGTTCAAAAGAAAAACTAGAAAAGAAGGTCTGTGTTTGCTTCGTTGAGAGAAGAATATACAAGCCTGCTCCAGCGTATGTTGTATTTACAAAGCTCAATTTTGTTGTTCGAATATAAAATGGATAGGAAAAAGGCTATAGAGAAACAATAGTGTTGGATTATAGGCTCAAGACTATGGAAGAAACAAAACTTGGGAATATGAGTTGACTCTTACAAGCAGATAACGCATTTTGAGTATTAAAAGACGGGAAAACTCTGTGGAAAAATAAGCAAGTAAAACAAAAAGTATAAAACTATATATTTATGGGAAAAGGTACAAAAGAATATGAACAACGTCATTTGAGTCAAAGTTGGTGTCGCACGCTTTGTTCCACTTTTTACAAGACTTTTCTTCAAGGAAGCTATTTCAAATATAACAATATATCGAGAGAGACGGTTGAAATGATCCATGAGATGGTGATAGATAAAACTTTCATTTATTGAACGACTAGTTTTATTGTATGGAGTTTTCCAAAGAAAGCTCAAGTGTTATTTTTCCATTTTCGCACCATTTTATGTATGGTTCTACACCGTCATGAACAGAAAAACACTAGGTGTCATTTTTTTTTGCAAATTTCCCTTCGATAAATGCTATCTCTTTCTTTCTCGAAAATTCAAATTTTAGTACAATTGTTTCCTGTTAAAATATGTTTCAAATACCTACTTGAAGGTACTTATTTGTATGCCTTAACAAAGAAAACGATTTTATGAACTTTGACAAAGTCAACGTATACTTTTTTATGTCCTAAAAGATCCTCTGATAGTGTTTCATAACTTTGTGTCCATTGTAAATTTCAGTCTCGTACAACTGCGAAATAGTTTAAACTTTGGAATATAAAAGGTAAAATGGTTTTTTGTTTCCTTGAAAAAATAAGAAAACCTTGCGAAATTTGGAAAGGGTTTGATTGTCAAACAGTAGTCATTTTGAGGTGTTGTATATTTGATATGGACTTTTTTCAACTGACTAGCAGTCTTTTGGTAATTGGCAATAGGATAAGAAGTACCATAATAATTGTTTCGCTCAAAGTTGCCAACGATCTTACTTTACCTCACTCTGGATAAAAGGAATCCAATAAATAACTTTCAGTAGGCCTTTCATAAATGGAAACTACATAAAGTTACAGCTCAACCATTTATTCATAAAGCTTTCTATTTACTACTCGCATATTCTTATTCGTTTGAGAATGGACTGGTGCATACATTTCACGAATTCTTTGTTCACTGGCTTTTACTCAGCTGACCAACATTGCCAATTGTTTATCAAATTTCGTTGTCTTTTTTTTTTTTCCATAGAGACTCCAAAATTCGTTGTTTTAACTATTTTTTCGTTTGACTCGAAAATATTCAGAGTGTTTCAACAATTGCAAAGCTATTAGATATACATCCTATCTGTCATCATTGACTCAATTTTTGTTTCTTTTACACTCAAAAACGAGGTGTCAAGACTATATCGCTCTAAACACACACATATATACATATATGTATATATATTAAAGCAATCAAGTACCATATGACCAAAAAGGAGAGAGAGCAGGTTTACTTTGTAGCTCTTTGAAACTATCCAAGGAAACCAAGGTATAAAGAAAGGGAGAAAGCAGTAGACTTGACAGTCCATACTGAGAAGAAAAAGAAAACATTTCCCAAAGTGTGTACACTCAAGTTTATGAATTTCCTTCGACACCAAGGTCAGATGGAAACAGCTCTATGAACGAACGAACAAAACCTGGTCAACTTGCACTGGGAAGAGATTGTTCCAGATACCAAAAGAAATGACTTTGATGGTGTAAAGGTAGTTATTTCAAGAAGCACGAAAAATCCATATAAAAAAGTACAGTTTATATAGATTGCCAGACACAAGACTAAAGAATTGTAATACGCTATCAATTTGTTAAGTCATTACTCTTTTTTTCAGCAAACAGAAAGGCGAAAGAGTATTTTTTATGATGATTGAGAAACGAACTTATAACTTTTTCTGTAGTATGGAAACTCAGATTGGTAAGAAGTTGGTAAAACGATCTCACTCTTGCAGACTTTCACATCAAGCCGATGTAAGAATGCACTTTAGACAAGTTGCTGGTTGGTGAATCAAAGACAAGTTTTAACTATTGAAGAAGACATATACAAGGCAAGTGACATAAATAGGAGTAACTTTATTGTGCATTCTCAAGTTGAATATGACTTGGATAGTGTTGATAGAATGACATGGGTTGTTTGAATTACAGTATATTGTCTGTCCATTTTTCATGAGTCTTTTTTTTCCATCAAGTTGCTTTATACTAGCACACGAAAACTATCCCATATGTAAGTGGAGCCATTCATATCTTAGACTTTGTTTCATATAGTATTTATAGATCGTCGATAGTCTCTCTAATAGCAAATACAAAATGATCATATGGATTTATTAGAAGAATTTACTCAAGTAGATTTGACAAACAAAATATCAACTAGTACTAGTAGTCATTTATCTTAACGCATAAAGGATAACCTAGTTTATAGTTTGCTTGGCAAGAACCATAATGAGAGAAAATCCCTACATTCTCTTTTCATAGCTGCAGATAGCTTTTACTATAAAACAAGTCGTTGACCAC